TTTTGTTTGTTTTTCCCTTTTTGTCTGTGCACAGTGCTGTAGAACACCTGATTTACGTAGATGTTCCAAAAATAACACCATCTTCTCTTTCAGGACAACAGGAGAAGTAGCATCTGGAGTTGTAAATAAAGTATTCAATCAGCCAAAAGCCAGAGCAAAAGAGCTGGGTCTAGATATATGTCTAATGTATATAGAAATTGAGAAAGGTGAGGCAGTACAAGAAGAATTACTGAAGGGCCTGGACAACAAAAACCCAAAAATCATAGTAGCATGTATAGAGACACTGAGAAAAGCACTAAGGTAAGCTTTGATTTTTTTAGTTCCATGGTTTGTTAGAGGTTTTGGTCTGCTTTCTTCTTTTCCCCCCCTCACTTAAGTCTTTAACATACCCTGGTTATTGTTCAGTAGGATGTATCTTTATTTTCTGACAAGAAAAGTCAGCAGCATCATGGGGTTTGTTAGAAGTGAGGGGTGTCTTTGTTATACAAGATGTGGTGATCATCTAGATCACTTTTCTTCATGGCAACTGTTTACCAAACTTCCATTTCACAATAGAGCTCTGAAAGACAGGCAGGATTAGTGTGTCTTGTTCCAGACTGTGGAGCTTCTCTTTGAATAGCTGAAATAAACTCACTGATGGGAAAACTAAAACTTAGTCCTGATTTAAAAAAACCCACTGTTTTCTTCACTGGTCTGAGCATCTCTAATTGGGTACATGGTGTGTGGTTTTTGAAAGAAAAGAAAAAAGAAAAAATACCAAAACAATGAAGCTTATTGCACAGTAAGTTTCCATTGACCATTTAAGCATCTCTTGACTTAAAAAGAAAAGCTGATAATGCTTTGCAAAAATAAAATCCAATTTAATGAAGATGGGGGAGTTTGTTTTGAGATTGGATTTGGAACATCTTTTTTTGTTCCACTTCAGCTATGTTTGCTGACTTTGAGTTGAGTGAAAAATAATGGGATTCTATCAAATTGTTGTTCTACTGTCCTGTGGATTTTTTTTTTTTTTTTAAAGGGAACATAATTTTGTTATTAATTGACAGAACACTTTTTTCTGAGGAAAGTAGTTAATGTTGAGCTTCAACAAGACCAGGTTTTTGGTTCTACATTTGGGCCACAACAAGCTCAGGCAATGCTGCAGGCTTGGGGAAGAGTGGCTGGAGCTGCTTGGAAGAAAAGGACCTGGGAGTGCTGAGGGACAGGCAGCTGAACATGAGCCAGCAGCGTGCCCAGGTGGCCAAGAAGGCCAGTGACATCTTGGCTTGTATTAGAAATAGTGTGGCCAGCAGGACCAGGGAGGTGATTGTCCCTCTGTACTCGGTGTGCCAGCAGGACCAGGGAGGTGATTGTCCCTCTGTACTCAGCATTGATGAGGCCACATCTTGAATACTGGGTTCAGTTTTGGGGACCAAAATACCAGAAAGACATCAAGGTGCTGGAGTGGATCCAAAGAAGAGCAACTAAGCTGGTGAAGGGCCTAGAGAGCAAGTCTTACCAGCAGTGGCTGAGGGAACTGGGGCTATTGTCTGAAGAGGAGGCTGAGGGGGACCTTATATTCTACAACTACCTGAGAGGAGGTTGTAGAGAGGAAGGTGTTGGTCTCCTCTCACAAGTAACTAGGGATAGAACAAGAGGGAATGGCCTCAAGCTGCTCCTGAGGAGGTTTAGGTTGGACATGAGGAAGAACATTTTCACTGAAAGGGTGGTCAGGCCTTGGAACAGGCTGCCCCGGGAGGGGGGGGAGTCACCATCCCTGGAGGGGTTTAAAAACCCTGTAGACGTGGTGGTTGGGGATGTGGCTTAGAGGTGGACTTGACAGAATGGGGTTAATGGGTAGAGTCCATTTTAAAGGTCCTTTCCAACCAAAGTGATTCTATGATTCTTTCTGAAAATTTTGTATAATAGAGATGGATAGTGTGTTATTTTCCAGAGTACTTGCTGAGGCATATGTAGAGATGATTCAATATTTTCAGGCTTTTGTAGTAATAGTCAAAATAAAGCATGAGGTTACCTATGCTTCTGCAAAGTGAAACTACTGTCCCACATCTTATGAATATATTTTAGCTATTTTAAATTGCCTTATCTAATCAAATGTCCTTTTAACAGTACCGTGTAATTAGAAACCTGCATAACCTTCCTCTGTCTTGCCTCTAACCATGCCTATAAAATGTGCCACGTGTCTTTTTTGTGTTATATGCAGTATTTTATTATCTTTATGATGACAGGATCAAATTCTTTCATGGACCCCTATTGATTTGGCCTTTGTCTTCTGCTTCTGAACTGTGTAGCTACCTAATTTTGTCTTGTGCTTTGACAGAGTTTCTGTATTGATAATAAAATTTGTCTATGTTGGACCTAGGTGGGTGACTTGAGTGCATAACTAGTTCAGCTTGTGGTGTTTTTTACCCTGTGCAAAGGTTTCTGTTCCTTCTTGTGTTCTGTGAATTAGCATCACATGGACTAGGTAGGAATTGGAGAATTCACATAGGCACTTTTTTGAATATCATCTTTTTTGACTCATGGTAAAAAAAAAATCTTAAGCAAATGATTTGTTCATATTCTGCATTTAAATTGGTGCTTCTAAGACTGGTGCCTCTTCTGCAGATTTTAATACTGGGTGTTTCTCAAAGTGGGCTTGGCAATAAAATGTTTAGCACCAGGATTTTTAGGAGGTGAGAGATGAAAGTTTTAGTTCTTGAGTGGCTATTTTTACTGGCTGTTTCATATGGTACTTGATGGTGGGGAAGCAGAAGAGAGGGTGTGGTTAGTGGAAAGGTTAATTCAAAATCCCCAAGGAAAATAAAAGCTTCTGAATCAAAAAAAAATCATGGCTCTGAGATGATTTAGATATGATGCTTTCAGAACTGTAGCAGGTAATTTTGAGTATTGAAAGAAAGTTATTCCTCACTTGGCAGTGACTGAACAACTAAGTTTAAAGTATTAAGTTCAACAACATGTAGAATCTGTTGATGGGGAAGGGTGATTGGCTGGGGAAACTTGTTTTATGTGCCCTTTCAGCAGCACCTATCTCAACATGTGCTTTCTGTGAAGATGACCCAGGCTCACTATAATTATCTGGTCCAACAAGTGGAAAAGTGAATAATGCTTTTACTGCAGGTTGTCTCCAAGGATAGACAAAGGAGATTCTATTCTGATTTTTTGAAGTCATACAAATTTTGTTCTAAGGATGCTTTTTTCTCTCCCTGCCCCAGCAAGGGAACAGATTTAAGCAGCAGATTTGATTAAGTACTTTGAAGTCATTTCAGAGGCCTGATTTTGTAATTCCAAGCAGGGTGTGGAAGATAGTTATGATAGGGCAAATACTCTTTAAAGTTTACAGTAGCTTAGTAGCTTCACAAAATAAGAGCTATAATAATGATTTGTGTAAATGACACGATGCCTCAATGTGCACTGGAAGCATTTCAGGGATTGTTAAAAAGAAATTGAAGTGGTATTTGTGTCTAATTCCTACCTGTAGGTTGATGCTATTCCATGTTTTTCACTTGCAGCGAGTTTGGCTCAAAAATAATCTCCCTGAAGCCAATCATTAAAGTCTTGCCAAAACTTTTTGAGTCCCGGGAAAAGGCTGTTCGGGATGAAGCCAAACTCCTTGCTGTGGAGATCTACCGCTGGATAAGGGATGCTCTGAGACCTCCACTGCAGAACATCAATTCTGTTCAGGTAGGCAGAAGGTAGTTCTGTACCCACACATTTGAGAAGACACTTCCACGCTCACCTTCCATCATAACGTGGTGTTGGAAGTCAAAGCTGGAATTTTACAGTAGCAGCAATGTTATTTCTTTAATCTTCTCATAACTTTACCTGGAGTGGTAAATCCATCTGCTACTTTTAAAAAAAATTGTGATTGTTTTGTTGCTTTCAATATATGTGTAGTTGCAGGGGGAAGAATCTTCCTAAAACAGAGGAGGGTATTTGAGATGAATAATTCTTGGAGACCTAACCCAAGGACAAATAGTTACCTTCATAGAAGACCCCTGCATTAAACATCTTCAAGCTGACCATTTTCCTTCTCAGCTTTCTTTTTTCCTGAAGTCTTTTCCTCTACACAGCCCTTCAGACTGGTGGTGCTTAATAAGTGACTGTTCCACCTCAGGAAGTGGCATTACATTGTGATAGATAACGATGCTGTTGGAGATGAAACATTGTTTTTTTTAACACAAAAAAAAATTTCTTATCAAATATAGCTCAGCATGTTTGTTTCATCTTAGTTTTAGTATGAAATAATAGTATGACTGTAACAGGAAATCTTCCTTCATGCTCAGCCAATTTTGGTTTTAAAGCTTCTGCAGAGGGGACACACCATTCTGACTGTTGTACAGTTTGTTCTTGTGTAAATACTTTGCATTGATACTTTTGTGGATGATACTCTGTTTTGTGGATAAACTTAGTCAAAAGCCTCTGAACAGTGAATGTGGAGGGGAAGTGACTTCTCTGGTGGCAGAAAGAACTTGAAAGGTAGTACTGTCTTTGGTTTGAAACAGGAAGACTCCATGAAGTGTTGCTTGTCTTGGGATATGTACAAAATGTCTCTGTTGCAATGACTCTTTTCCCTTTTGACAGCTGAAAGAACTGGAAGAAGAGTGGGTCAAAGTGTCATCAGCTGCTCCTAAGCAGACCAGATTCCTGCGTTCCCAACAGGAGCTAAAAGCAAAATTTGAGCAGCAACAGGCAGCTGGAGGAGATGCAGATGAAGGTGAGTGGGTGACTCCCTCAACTCCACTGGCAAGTATGTTGCTGGTGTATTATTTGTGAAGGAACACATTAACTTAAATAGTGCTTTTACTCAGACTGGTACAGAACGCGTGGGGTGCAGTACACAACCAAATGTGGCTGGAGCAAAAACATTGTATGAAAGAGTATCTGTCCTTGGGAATAGCAAATCTGCAACTGCTGATAGTACTTCTTAAACAATGAGCCTTAGTTGGTGCTGTAGTCCAATCTTCAGTTGTCATTCTGCTTCTCTTTTTCTCTCTTCTGCTTGCAGGAGGTGATGATGAGGAAGAAGCAGTACCACAAGTAGATGCATACGAGTTGCTTGAAGCTGTAGAAATTCTTTCCAAGCTTCCTAAAGACTTCTATGAGAAAATAGTAAGCATAAAGTTAGATACTAGTAGTTAATTCTGTGACACGAGGAGCTAGTGAGTCTTAAGACTTGCAGGCATTCTGCAGTGTATGGTTTATTACTACATGGATAATAACAGACTAGTGGAAGTAAAGTGTAGAGTACTATAAATGTGTTTCAAAATCTGCTTTATCAGCAAGGAAGCTGTAATTTCAAGGAGCTGAGATGTGCTGGGGAAGGGCTGCATTTCATATTTCATTGCAGTTGTTGGTGTTGAACTCTATGTGTAGACTTTGGCTTTTTCAGGATAGAATTAAATTGTAAAATCTGTAGTTTGTGGAAAGCATATTTCTCTAGAACTGTTTGCATTTATAAATGAATGTCAATTATTTGTTCTGCAGGAAGCCAAAAAGTGGCAGGAAAGGAAAGAAGCTCTAGAAGCTGTTGAAGTGCTGGTGAAAAATCCCAAATTGGAATCGGGGGACTATGCAGACTTGGTGAAAGTTCTCAAAAAGGTAATAAATAAAAGCCAGGGTGCACTAGATAGCTTAATATTTTTTGTATAGTTATTTGTATTATACTTAAGAGGTTATGGCTGTGATAATAATGATTAGAAAATTCTTAGCTGGAACAGTGGTGGAAATAACCCAATTTGTGGCATGCTAACGACTGTAAGAAAATCCTCCAGGTCTTTGAAACGTGGATTTTTTTCAGTCTTGAACATTGTTTTTTTGTTGTTTGTGTTTCCAGGTTGTTGGAAAGGATACAAATGTTATGTTAGTGGCATTGGCTGCCAAATGCCTTGCTGGACTAGCTACTGGCCTCCGAAAGAAATTTGGACAGTATGCAGGGCATGTAAGTAAGAGTATGTACTTTTTTCCTGTTTTTATTGATGCTGGACTCCTTACCTTTTTTTTTTTGCCTGTCAGAACTTGGTATTTATCAAAGGTATTCTTTGTACAGTTTTGAATGCTAACCTACCCCTTCACAGAGCAAGTAGTGAAATACCTGCTGAGGATCTCTTGCAGCCTGAAGTTAAAAGGACCTTGTTTATTCACATGTAGCAACATGAAGCTTACTATTGCTATAAATCTTATGTGCTAAGACAATTCTGAATTACTCTGCCATGAAATGAACTTTGTTGACATTACTTTAACCTGGAGATAGACCCACAGAAATGCATTTGTAGGCCACAGTGGGAAAAATAGCTTCTGAACCTGAATGCTACTTAGCAGCTCCATGGTGTATGTTTTGGGTTGGTTTGGTCTTTTTGAATGTTGTGGGAGGGTTGGTGGTGGGTGAGTGAGTTTGTTGTTTGGCGTTTTTGGGGAGTTTTTGTCTGCTTAAAATAGTCAAACTATTGAATGTTGTGGGAGGGTTGGTGGTGGATGAGTTTGTTGTTTGGTGTTTTTGGGGGAGTTTTTGTCTGCTTAAAATAGCCAAACTGCTTAGATTTTGGGTACCAAAATATTCTGGTGATCTAGTTTAGCACTCTTCTCTATTCCCCTTTGCTGCTTTTCACTTACCAATAGCTAATATCAGGGAATATGGGGAAGCTTAATCAGTCTCTAGAAG